TATGACTGCATGTTCCTCGTCATATTTCCCCGTGTGAGCTTACAAAGCTGCCTCTGTCTCATCATGTTCTGTTTGAGGCACGTGCACCAAATGCATCACACCGTGATGCACACGACAAAACCTCTGGACTGACCTCTGCCCCAGAGTGCTCAAGACTTGTCCCGACAACTGCAACTCCTGAAAAACCCTTCTGTTCCGAAAGCTAATGAACCTGCTGAGGACTGACGATCTTTGTACTGCAGCTGGCACTGACAACTAACAGCACATGCGCGCGGTCCCTTGCAAAACCCAGACAGGCCCTTCCATGCTGAGCAACCCAATCAACCCACTTCCCGTTCTGAAGAGGTACCTTTGTTCGGAAGAGGCCCGTACTGATCATATCGACGTACACCTCGTGCAAGTGATGGGAGCATGTGTGAAATCTTGGAGTCACAAAGAAGCCTTGCCAGCCTTACCGTCCTTGTCATGAAAACCCGCAAATGAAACAACCAAGCTTCCTGAGGTTAAAAATAGGCGGGGCCGATGGCAGCAATTGGGTAGGGCCACACCCGCCTCGTAACCGGAGATCAAGCTTGTGGCACCGGACACCGTCCTGCAACAGCAGGAACCGAAGGAGGGCACCATTGTCCAGTGTGTTCTACACTGCGCTCAACCGCCAACAATGCAAGAAGAACCCTACCCTACTCGGCCCTAGCGATCCAGGAGAGGGAGCCACCAAGCTGTGTCAGGTCTAGGTCTTGGTCTTGGAACCTCAGTGAGCACTCAAAACAAGAAGGCGAGAACAGCACAAGGGCTTCATCACACTCGACAATGGCCTGCACTAGACTGAATTGTCAAAGTCTTTCATGCATGTGCCCTCACTATACGAGTACGTCACACTATACTGTGCGCAGTACTTCACGGAACCACAGTACAGAAAGCCTCACTGCAGTGAACAACGCCCAAAGCAGTCTGGCACCCCCTTGCCGACGGGCTTGGACTAAGAACTCTGAATTTTGGATCTGCGCAACTCCCGACTGTCCGAACCATGCGTAGAGTGCGTAGAGTTTGGCACTCTGCATGATTCATGAAGAGTGAGAAATATTGTATAATTGGACTACTGTCAACTGTAGATACTATTACAGCCTAACAATTGACCTAGCCTACTGCAGCCAGATTCTGGCCAACAGGCTGGATGCTTGTAACCAGAGCGAAGTTGTCGGTGATGGCATGGGTCCTGAGTCTCTCTCCCCTTCAGTTCCTTGATGCGGGTGTCCTAGGTTTGTGGGAAGTTCAGGGTTTGACTTGACTTCAACACTTTTCTCAAAACAGCCAAAAACGAATTGAAGAGTGCAGTCCCAGCACCGGAGCCAAACAGCATGGGCAACAAAGGGCTCCCTTTAACGCCAGAACCCTGTCAAGCGACGGGCAACATAGATTCTAGCACAGCAAAGAAAGCAAAGACGAGCAAACGCAACTCGCAGCTTGACTCCAAGGAGCTGGGGAGTAGTCTGCTCCGCAAAGGAGGAAGCGGCGTGGACGTGAATCTGTGAACGAAGCTGAAGGTTTCTAGGGAGCTTCGGGTGCATCTACTTAGCCAGCTAGATCTCAGCTCCAGTTCCCTCAAGGCAAGAACTCTCGAGGTGTAGAGCCTTCCAACACAACCATCATTGACCGGGCTGATGGAAGATAATGGAAGTAGAGAAGCACCCAAGAAAGAAAACACATGAAACATTTGGGAATACGGCCACCACGGCCATCCCATGGCTCTAAATAATTGCTGCGCAGTAAACCGTTAGCGTTCGTCCTGCTTAAGCTTTGTTCAGCCCGAACGTTGACAGTCTAGACTGAGTCTACACACACATATGTCAGAATTATCTGCACCTATGCAGAACCCAGACAAGTACGCCAGCTCCAACCCAAGCACGGGCCACTTGCCGCGAATAATACCATTCAGTTTCCTGCAAGCTATACCTTCTGAACATACGGTTTGCAAACTTCCAAGGGTGTCCTGCACGTATGGGAAGCGCAATGTGTCGGCAGGGATGGAGAAAGTGTTCGAGCCCGCCTAAGTAGCAAATTCAGTGCTCTCAGAACTGAAAACACCTCAGCGTTGTTGTACTTTGTGGATACAAATCTCACAACTGTCAACTGTCCGTTGCCCTTGAAAGGCTTGAAAGGCTTATACCTGAACATGGCTGAACACAACGTAGATGAGTGTCCCAGCAACATAGCATGTTCCGAATATTTCCCAACAAGAAAAGTCAGGTCTTACAGACACCAGACGAGTGCTCTCTACTAGGGTCCCAGCAGTCCCTGTGTTGCCAACCTGTCAAGCGTATGGTTGGTTTCCGTATCGAAAGGTGAACATCGCGTTGCGGAGACAACGTGGCCATGTACCGCCACGGATCCAGGAACGGCTGGCCTGCGATCGCGAGGTCCCCGCCGTATCTGTGCTCAGGTATATGACCTGAAGAGATAGCGCTGAAAGTACCACTCGCGATGACGTCTGCTGGATCAACTTTGACTCTTACTACATCACAACTTAGATACAAATTTGCCTCGGAATGTACAGGTAATGTAGTGGTCGGCGCAGGTACACGACATCTGTAGCTTAAGGCCCTCCCTCTGTGTTATATCACACGTCGCAAGAACTTCACCAGCTGAGCCCAAGTGTAAACGCGCATAAACACGCAGCCCTAGCTCCGTACAACTTGCACCATTCCATCTGCAGCCGCGCGTCGTAATCGGTGACCTGTGTAACATCTGCCGGCGGCGACCACCTCCCGAAGCGAAGTCTCGCACAGCTCTACCAGAGTTGCAAACGAAGCTAGGAGATGCGGTTCTAGCTTCCACTGGGTGCATGAAAGCTTGCTACTTGTGACTGCATATTCGTCCCGAAACTGCAAGTACGGCGGTTCAGGTGTTAGCGAGAATGCCGATGTCACAAACGGTGATAGCAACAGCAAGAGCAAAAAATGAAAACGATAGGAAATAGTACTGGTGGTATGTGGGGGTGGCTGTGCTTATGGTGGCGCTCCTGGAACTAGCTGATGTTACAGCAAAGGCTCATGCTGAGAGGCCGACGTCACATCTCCTCCTATGTACAAGTTGTCCAAGTCCAGGTCTTGAAAGGCCTGCATGCACTCCGAACTAGAACACAAAATGCAGGTCAGCAGATGCGGCTAAGACTGGATCCATTTGCACTCACCGATGTGATTAATTTCAGTACGTCGAATGGCAGCTCTCGAACACCAGCATTTCCAGCTTGCAGGCGTTCAACGACTCTTGAACGAACTTGATCAAAACTCAGTCGGGCCGAAAACAGAAATCTGTTCAGAACAAGCGGAGGATGCACGCGTGGAAGGAAAGTGCAGCTGGGAGCATCTTTCATTGCTAGTGTCATTACACACCCCCTTCATCCATCCGCACCAGAGAGGACACTGAGGAATCCGTGTCGGTGAGGGCGACCGCGGTTGGCGCAGCCTGGCTGTTGGCTGGATGTTTACAACCATCCACGTAAGAGCTTCGGAAAGAACTCATCGCAGCTCTAAACAGGCAGTGCGCTTCTAACCCCTTGGAAACTGCACCGTTCATAATTTCGGTGTTGGGCAATTGGTTCTGACCTTGGGAGGAGGATTTGAGGCTGCGTGGATACCGATTTTCCGACTCCAAACGCCACAGCGCAGGCATGTCAGAAGGCAATCGCAAGCAAGTGTGCGACCTGAGGGACTGAATGATTCGACCCGGCTCTTGGACAAGAACAATAGCCTGCTGCAATGAAGTAAGGAGAATGGGTAACTGGCACACCGTCAGATCCGAACCTTTTGTGGGAACCTTCAAAGCCAAAGGGGTCTGGACATCAAACGGCCAGAGCCTGCTGGCCGTTCCCATTAGCCGTGTAGACGACGATGTGCGAGTACCTGCACAAGTTTGACTGGCGTGGCGCGTCGCTTGAGTTTGAGGGAAACTGAGGGCCAGGGAATGAAGTTCGGCCCAGGGAGCGCACGAGCCCAATGCCGTGTTGTCCGCAACTGTCGCCGAGTTCGTACCAACGGGTACGTTCAGACTTACCTCGCACACAGAGCAGCCAAAATGCGCAAGATTTAACAATGGCTGGGCCGCTGAAAGATCTAGAGCTTGGCTCAGAAATGGGTATTCGAAGCACGCACTGTGAGTCTTGCAAACAGATCTTATCCACATGTAAAGATGACCGAAGAAGCCAATCAATGTCAATCAATTTCAAGTCCCAACTCGGAACGCAACGCAGCTGCTCACACCGCATGTTCCGTAATCGCCACTGGTTTCTCTACCATGTTAAATCATCACTTGACGAGCTGGCTTCCTGACAAGACAGATTTCTCGAGAATCAAGTCAAAAATAGCAGCAAACAGTAGACACGAGAGGATTTCTTATGGTAGCAACCATGGCACCAAGAAGTGCCCTAGTTGTCTGCACAGTCACTCTGACTGTGACTGGGGTCCTGGCGGCGGAGCGTCCAGAACCAGCAGAGTCCGTGGCCACGTAGACGTCGTAGTGCGTGACCTCAGCTCAAGCATCAACCTACAGCAATCTCGATCTTGAACCTGTAACGCAAATTTGCACTATCATACTTTGTACACTATCTGGCTTCATGGGTGGGGGTCAGTGAACATTCTATACTGCCTCTACATATGGTGGTTGCAGGATGGTCAGACTTGACGCTGTACACCTGTCGTTTATAGGCTACATGCAGCGTCCTGGGGCTGCTTCAGGATCCAATGGCCTGCACGTGCACATCTTTTCCATGGACTACTCTCGAACCTTGCAGGGCTTTCCCTAACCAGGTGGACCAAGACACCCAACTTCCGAAGGCACTTCTTTTTGCAAGGTGCAGGCGTTTCTGTGTTTATGCAGGCGGAAATATTGCACAGGCGGAGGCTCCACAAAACAGTGGAAACCCATCAAGTACTCACAAAGTGCTGACCAAAATGGCCGCGGCTGCCTCAGAGACACGGCTGAGACTTGTCATGGTATAGGGGTCAGGCTTGAGGGTCTGTGGGAACGGTCTCCTCGGACATCACTATCATCTTTCCTGCACCCTCTGCTTTAATGGGCTCGATTCCCCCACTGGCAAGGCCTGTGCATTTCATCAGCTTACTGGTCTGGCTGGACATAGGCTGAAGGCCCCAGACCTCGGCCAAAAGCCCGGTGAAACTACTCACATTCCGCATTTCCGAGAACTCAATGTCCAGGTGGGCGTGCTGCGCGGCAAGTGGGGCGTTCTGGTAGAACTCCCAAGCGGAGCTGGAAAAGATGTAGAGACCGAGGTAACGCCCCGTAACCTCGCGGATTCCCTCGTGGTGGTTTAGGGTTTACAAACCCTGAACCTTAAACACTACACCCCGAACCCTACAAGTACGAAAGGAAACTCCAAGCAACGGCGACCACCTCGCGGGGGGGAATGCGGCCTTTGGGCCGACCAAAGACGTAGCGCATCTGGGCACAGCCTGCATCAAAAAAGGCCATTGCTCTAGGGTTTACGGTTCTAGTCTAGGGCTAGGGGTCTAAGGTTTAGTGTTTAGGTTTAGGGTTTTGAGGTTTCGGGTGCGAGTTTAGGTTTTCGGGCTTCAATAATTTAGGGTTAGCGGTTAAGGCTTGGAGCCTAGCAAAAGTCCGCTGCTGTGGTGGCTGCAAGGACTCGGGATCCGCGGGAGAGGCTTGGGGTAGATTTCTGGAATGGTCACATCGAGGGTGGCAAAGGAACCCAAACGACGGCTGGGATCGTAGAAAACGATGTCGGGTCTGATCTCCACCAAAGAGCGGATGGAAAGCCTCTCAATCCACTGCTCCCCCATCATCCCATAGAAAGGCTGTCCCCAAAGCTCCATGTCAGGTGTTTTGAGCAGCAAGCTCATGCCCTCCGGAAGACCAAACTCATAGCGCTTGCTTCTGAAGTAAGACACGGGGTCCCCAGCCACACTTGCAGGGGATGGACTGGCAACGGGAGTCGGGCTCGAAGATGGAGAAGGGCTGGGACTGGAAGAAGGAAGATTCTCGTAGTACCACATGTCGTTATGAGCATTGTTCCCATAGAAATAGAGCCTCAGCGGGCTGTGGGTAACACCCCCGGCCGCAGGCCCTTTGCCCGTACTCCTCTCCGGTGGTGCGGTTCCGGTTCCATCATCCACTTGGCTCCAAGCATTTGTGGCGATGTCATAAGACCAAAGCTCATCTGGTGACATACTGCCCCCCCAGAGGTAGATGATGTTGTTGGAAGGCCCGATCCCTGCGACATAGCCTCAATGGAACGGAACCTACCAACTCTACTACGACCTATAAGTCATAAACCCTTAACCCTTAAACCTACGCCCTGAACCCTAAACCTTTATAGTCCCTACCGCATCTCCAAACTCCAAACTCCATCTCCCAGCTCCCTCCGTTTATGATTGGAAACCAAAAGGGGGTTTCAAGATAGTTGGGAAAGGGGGTTTGAAACCCTGAATATAATCCTAAATAAAATCCAGTCATAACCATTTTACAAAGTTCGATGACCTGTGAAGCAGTCTAGAAGCCAGTCGTCGATGGTGGTGCTGTACCAGTGCCGTCGTGCGCCTGGGTCCACGTGTTGCCAGTCAAATCGAAGTACCAAAGGTCAGTGCCCGTTCCGGAGTCAACCCATCCTCCGTAGACATAGGCTCGGTCACGTGAGCTGTCGAGCCTAAGCACGAGAAGAGAAACAACAACTGTGAAGAACCTAGGCTCTACATCAGGTAAGGCTTGAACACTTACATGGTTTAGGGTTCGGGTTTATCGGGTTTAGTGTGAAAACAGGCAGAAAGACTTGAACCCTCAGCCCGGAAAACCCTCAAAGCTTACATGCCTCGAGCCCCCACCCTCTGCCCGAGAAGCTAAATCCTAAACTTAAAAACCCTCAACCTTAAAGCCTAAACCGTCAACCCTCAACCCAACACCCAAAACCCTTTAACCCAAAAGGCTTGGGGTTTTCGAGTTACGAGGTCTGGGGTTTTGGGGTTTCCGGCTTGGGGTTTAAGGTTTAGGGCTTGGGGTTTAGATTTTTGGGTTTAGGGCTTACGGTCCAGGGTTTAGGGTCTGGGGTTTATGGTTTAGGGTTTAGGGTTAGGGCACCAGCGCTTTCGCAAGTGGTGGCTAGGGATGGTAAACCCTAACCCCAAGGTCCTAAACCCTAACCCCGAAACCCTAAACCCCAACCCTAAACCCTAAGACTTAAACTCTACACTCTAAACCCTAAAACTTGAACTCTAAATCCTGAACCCTATAGAACTTAAACTCTAAGACTCTAAATCCTACAAAAAAAAAAAAACCCGAAACCACAGCCAATCACAAGTTTGGCTTCTGTCCACGCGTTCGTTGCCGTGTCAAAGTACCACATATCATTCAACTTGCAGCAGGCCCTGGGGAATGGGTCTCAGCAGATTCCTTTCTAGGTATAAGTAGAGTTATAAGTAAGGGACTGGTTTAGAGTTTAGAGTTTAGGGCTAAGTAAGGAAATCGAGGTTCTAATCCCAGCTTCCCTGCATGCAATGCGTGGGCTTGCGATGGGTGCAGGAATTTCAGCCCGAGGCTGTGGCGGGGCCGGGGGGGGGGGGGGGCGGGGGCAGTGAACAATTTCAGGGCGGAGGCTTTTGTGGGTTTAGGGTTTCGGGTTACGTTTTTGGGGCTGGATCCTTGAGCGAATTCACTTGAAACCTTCTTTGAGAAGTCTCCGCAATGATCTTACCACTAGCTGGTTAGCTGGCTGGCTGGATCCGCGCAGCCATTTAGCAGGCAAAAAGCAGAATGTGCATGGCGCCACAGCCAGAGCGATCCCCAGCCGGAGTGAGTCAAGCGGAGTAAGTCAAGAGAAGTAAGCCAAGCGGAGTAAGTCAGGCAACGTTTTTCTCCAAAGAACCCTTCGCAGAGCTTTTTCGGGAACTAATGAGCTGCATTTTTGCTCGGACGCCTCTCTTAGGGTTTATGGAATTCCTTACTGTTTATGATCACCAGCTAAACACGAGCAGCACTTGGGCTGTAGATGCGGTACGTAGATGGTTACCTTCTCGTCCCGAGGTTACCTGCAAAGCTCAACCCTAAACCCTGCCCCCAACCTTAAAGCCTAAACCCTAAACTACACACCTTAGACCCTAAGGTTCTGATTCGCTAGCCCGAGCTTCAGAATCTATCTTAAACCTAAACCCATAACCCTAGATTTCGGGTTTAGGGTTTGGGGTTCAGCTTAGGGTTTAGGGTTAAAAAATTTGGATTAACCAGAAAACCTGAATCCTAAACTTCCTCAAGCCCCAAACCCCTAACCTTTAAACCTTTGGTTTGGAAATCAGAGCTTGATCGTGAAGAGCTTGAGGTTATGGATTTTAGGGTTTGGGGCTTAGGCCTCAAGATCCTCAAGGTTTAGGGGTTTAGGATGCCTAAACCCCAAACCCTAAACCCGAAACTCCCAACCCGAAGCCCTGAACCCTAACCCTGATTTTGCACTAAGGGGCTAGCTCATAATCTTGATCCACCTGGATCAGCAAAACCCTAACCACCAAACCTCGAAACCTTAGATTTGATCCCGTTCTAGCTATCAATAGAGTTACAGTGGTTAGCTTCAGGGCTTAGATTGCAGGGCTTAAGGATTAGGGTTGAGAGTTTAGGGTTTAGGGTTTCGGGTTAGGCTTAGGTGCAGGGTTTAGGCTCCAGGGTTGTAAGTTAGGCTATAAGTAGGGGTAATTGGGGCGATAACCTCGCAGACCTTGCCTGTAGCCCTAATTATTCCAAGAAGGGAATCAATTCGCAGGGTTTTAACGGGCTAGTAAACGGGGTTCAGGGTTGGTTTTATCCACCAGTCATCCCACTTAAGTAGTTATACCTCCGTTTTTTAATCTCCGATTTACTGACCATTCACCACCCCCAACCCGACACCCCAAACTCAAACCCTAAACCCTGAATCCTAAACCCTTAACTCGCAACCTTAAGCCTAAACCCTTAACCCTAATGGGTAACCCTAAGTGGCATGGACCTTTAGGGTCTATTTGGCACTTCCTTTTTGTTTGCTATTTAAACGGTTCAATTCACACATACAATTTGTGGGGTTTAGGTTTAAGGCAAAATTTATGGCTTAGGGCTAGTTCGGTTCACGGCTCAGGGCTCCCATGTTTGGCATCACATCTCTTATTTTCCTAGGGCTTCGCCACCTACCTCTCATTCCGTTTTCCATTCAACCCTCGTCTAAGGGTCTGGTGTTTGCGATAAATATACTACTTTAAAAAAATCAATAATAACATAAATAACGCTAACTACAGGAGCTGCTGGAAATGACAAACCCTGAGCGCCCTCAAGTGTGTTGCTTTAATTAAGACGATAATATACTCTTTTGTTGATAAATATTCCCATGACCATATTGTTGTTTCAGCCGCTTTTAGCCTTTTCCTATTAGTATTGTTTTTGTTTACCTGATATAACACCAAGGAAGGGGAAAGGGAAAACACCACTTCATCTCGATGTGTTTATCTCTCCTTTCCTTCCCTCTCAAGATTAGAGATAGAGAGGAGAAATGAAGGACAAAGACCGTGGAAGAAAGGCGTGAGCAATGCTCGGGACATAAGTGTAAGGGGTGAGGAAAAGGAACAGTGGATAACGAAAACAAGTGTCCTGCTTGACCCCTTTTTGTTCTCCAAGCGGCCCTCGTTTCACCATCGCTTCCTTCTTCCTCTCCTTCATTGTTTTTGTTTCCTTCACCCTGTTCCCCTATCTGTCGCTCTTCCACTGTCTTCCTTCTTCCTCTTCTCCCTAATTGTTGTCTCCTTCTCTTTGCTTCTCTATCTGTCTCCATCTCTCTCACTCCGGTGCTCCCCGGCGTTTTCTGTTCAATTGCTCATCCTTTCTGACTTTACGAGGCGGACCCTGTACAAACGATGGGTCCTGTTCTGGACATGGTCCCGCACTGCCTCTTTCCACACACTCCAGACCCCTCTGAGCCGCCCCAAGAGTTTCGGGCGGCCTTCAGAGAGCGTCTCCCAGGGGCCTCCAAGAGCCCCCATATTGCCAAGAAGAAAAACCACACAGAGACATGTAGAGAAGTAGTTACGAGGAGCTGGAGAAGTCCTCCTTCCATCATATCATTCCCTTCATTCTCCTTGCTTAACCTTGCCCTTCTTCTACCCCCCCCCCCTACTTAATGACAAAAGGAACAGAGGAAGAAAGGGCCGCAAAAGGGACACAAGAAAGGGAGAGTGCAGAAAGCGGGCGCACGAAGAGCGAAAACGAAAGGAAGGAGAAAGAAAGCTTCTTAAAGACAATAGCATTCCGAAGAACAACGAAATCCTGTCATTTATTGAAATACTGGATGGACTCGTTGATTCCTTTTCAAATGAAGGGTTCTATCGTTCACGGTGTTCCTTAGAACAGGAGGGCCTTTCAGGACAACGCCCTCATCTGTATTCAACATAGGCAGGGCTACCTCTGATTAAGAATACACGGAACGGTTCATTCTAAGAAAATAAACTCTCTCATTTCAATCGGAGCGGACGGACCCACTCATCTATCAAGAAAAGAGCCGAAAGCATTTGGGAGGAATTAAAATACGAATGAGGGGCTATCGCAGTATCCTTTTGTCTTCTGACACGGATTCTTTGACAGAAGGGGTTCCTGCCTCTTGTTTCTTTCAAGAAAGGGAGGCTTTCGAGTGGCAAGGGGCGAACTCACGCCCACCCCAGTCTTTGGGGCCACTCTGAAAACAGCTTGGAGAGGACAGTTGCTTCTCTCTCCTTTTTCTGTTTCTCTATCTCTTGCTCCGTGTCTGTCGTTCTCCTTCCCTCCTTCTGCGAATCTGCTTCTTTCAATATCCACCAGGGCCCCGCCGTTTTCGGGTTCCTTGAAGGGGCTCCCTGAAAGGGCCTCCCAGGGGTTTGAGAGAAGACCGCGAAAGGGCAAAAGGGGACACTTCTTGAAGGATGTTGAATGGCAAGTAAAAAACGGGAGGGGCGAGGAGGAAAGAGGAAAGAACAAGAAGAAGGAAGAGGGGAAGAGAAAGGAATGATGGCAGGAAGGAGGGAAGGAGGCAGAGAGGGAGAGAGACAGAGAGAGAGAGAGAGAGAGAGAGAGAGAGAGAGACAGAGACAAAGAGAAGAGCGAGAGAGAGAGAGAGAGAGAGAGAGAGAGAGAGAGAGAGAGAGAGAGAGAGAGAGAGAGAGAGAGCGAAAGAGAAAAAGATGGAGAGAGATACGATGAATAAAAGAACCACACTCAGCTATTTAAAGGGTGTGAAGATGCTCCGGGGAGAATTCCCGGGCATCTTCAATCTTCAATCTTCAAACACAGGGCCGATTAAGCACTCCACCTGCTGCTTAATCGGCCCTTGGATTGAAGATTGAATATTGAATATGCCGGGGAACTCTCCCCGGAGTATCTTCAACACCAAACCCCTGCCGATTAAGCACTTCATCTGCCTAACCGGCCCAGGGTTGAGAATCTAGGATTGAAGGTGCTCCGGGGAGAGTTCCCGGGCATGTTCAATCTTCAAACCCAGGGCCGATTAAGCAGGTGGAGCGCTCAATCGGCCTTGAGGCCGAAGGATCAGGACTGAAGATGCGCGGGGAGAGCTTCCCGGCATCGTCAATCTTTAAGCTTCCAACCCAGGGCCGATTAAGCAGCTGGAGCGCTTACTCGGCGATGGGGTCCAGTAGTTCAATATTTCATATGCTCTGCTAAAGTCCGTAGCATTTTCAAGCCCCCCTCCCAAAGACCCATCTGTATTTTGGTGTTTGGGATACCGTAAACCAAAGCTAAATGAAAGGGAAGAAGTCCCTTTTTCCTCTGCCAATCTTCTTCCTCCCACTCCTCTCTTCCTCTCCTATTCCTTTCTTAGCATAGAGCATGGAGTGGTGAGAGGGAAGGGGTGAAAGCGGATGAGAAAAGTGACAGAGAGGGCAGGGCGAAATCTTCATTTCCTTGCCTTTTTCGTCCCTCTCACCTCTCCTTCTCATCGTTCTCTTGCTTTCTCGTTTGAGAAGGATGTGGAAAGGAGGGAAGGGCAGGGCATGGAACAAGGGGGGCGAAGGCGGAACACAGAGAGGGGGGGGGGGGCGAAATCGAGTGAGAAAGGATGGAACAAGCAAGAAATGAGGAAAAAAAGAAGAGGAAGCGAGAGATACCCTATCCCATCCCAATGTTGCTGTGTCTCAGGGGCCCCGGGAGTTGGCAGGGGCTCCCGGGAGCCTCCCGAATGTAGGGGCCTTTAGAGGCTAGAGCTTCCAGTAGCATCCAACCCTCCCTCCCAGCTCGACATGAGACATTGCCTCTCCTCCCCTCCCTCACCTCTTCCTTTCCTCGCAGAAAGAGACAGATCATAGTCCGCCATCTTATAATGCCCTTCCTTCTCCTTGCTTATCCTTGCCTTT